TCAAAAAATAACAAAATATTAGAATATTTATTCATAAAAGTATTTAGATCGATGAAAATATTGGCGCCGGTGAATATCTATTTTAAAAATTATAAAAATACAAGAAACTTTAAAGATGGGAGTAAATTTATTATAAATTGTAGGTTAAATTAAAAAAAAAATATTACACTTTGTTTTTAATTTGAAAAATACATTCAGATGTCAAAGCAAAATATCATTCGAGGTAGAATTTAGAACAACTTGATAATTAACGTGGAAGCTTCTTCCTCCATTGTCAGTATGATATGCTTCTCTATTGTCCACCTAATTTTTCCCTAATGATAGATTATTTCATCTTTCCTCTATTGAAATTTTTTAAATGATAGGAATACTTTTTAAATTTTGAAAAGATAGTAGCACTCTCYAAACAAAGGACAAAGTTGAAGAGTTTATTTTTTATTAGTTTTATTTTAGTTTAGCTTAAATGATATTATTAACATTTATTTTCAACTTGACTATCTTTTTTGTTGTAATCTCTAATATTAGTAATATCAAACCTTTCAATTTAGGAAAATATGGACATTGTTGATGGATATTTTATTCAAAAGGATAGATCTTACAGCAATTGGTATACATCTCTTTCACATCTACTTGTTTTTGTTCTGTTTTGTTTTTTTGGGCTCAAGAAGAGAGATTGTGGACAGAGACATAACCCTAGAGCTTTAATTTCCCTCCTCTTTTTTTTTTTTGTTGGTCCAATTCAGCACCATCAATCATAACAAGAAAGTAAATTTCTGTTGTATTTTCCACAGTCTCTCCTACCCAGAAGCAGAAATTGGGCTTTTAAGAGTTTGGAGAAACTTCATTGGAAGCACCAAAAAAAGGGGTCAGATTCATGATGTCCAGAGAGGCTCCCACAATGGGTTTACATTGGTATCCTCAAAGTAGCTCTGGTTGATGCTCTGAAAGCCACTGTGAGGGCTGTTGGAGTTGAAATCATCAACAGATTGATGAGACTGAGCAAATTCCCTGCAAACTAAGGCCACTAGATTGGCTTGCTGGCACTGCATATTGACGAGCTCGGCCTGGGCCTTGGCTAGCTGCGCTTGGAGCTCATTCACTTGCTTTTGGAGCTGGCAAATGGCCCCTGCTGACCCATAAACAGGGTCTCTGATCCTCGCACTTGCTTCATAAACCAAGCTGCTCACTGCATCGGCCCTTTGAGATTCAGGCAATTCCTGTAATCAAAGTCCCAACAAAAATCTCAGTTTGCAACAGATGGGGCAGTACAGAAAACTTCTCTTCTTGTATTGTAATATTCAGAAACAGAGAAGAACAGAGGAGAATAAGAAGTTGGGAAATGAAGCCCAGTGGAGAATCTCTCTGTGTTTGAAGTCTCTCATGGAATTGATTCAGGTTTCAGAGAGCAATATAACAAACACAATATGATGTGATTGGTTACACTGCTTTTCAAACTTCCACTCGTAAAAGTGAAAAAGTTAAATTATTATATGAGTGAGTATGGTGCTTATTTAGCCATTAAATTATTAATTATGTTAAGTTTAGTTCAGAGACTAAATTGAGATATTTAATAGGTTAGGTGACTGAATAGACATAACTAACAAAGTTTACAGTTCGCTGAATAAAAACAAACAAAATGTTAGATAGAAAAAATTCCCATGTGTCCATGGCTTGCCCAAATAATTTACGGCACTTCCAACAAACATTTCAAGAAAAGACAATTTTGAAAGCTTCATTCCCCAGTCTCATTGCAAAGTATAGAATCTTAATATGTGAAATGAAACCTTTTGCCTCCTCTTTGATAGTGATGTTGAAGCCTCCTTTATTGGTCTTTCGCAGTATTTTCATACTAACATACAAATTAACGTGAAAAAGAAAAAAATGGAAGCAACAAGATCCTTGGTCTGTAAATCAAAAATCAACGTGCATTTTCAGCCTTAATTTATTGATTTAGTCTCCAAACTACAAGTAAACACTAAACAGTAGGCAATTCACAGTTAACGAAAAGCAGAAATCACGAATTCAATCAAAAAGGCGTAAAAAGAAAAGAATACCTGCAAGAATTTGATGATATTGCTAGCGCCATAAACTCGATGAGCGATGGCGAATTTGGCCGGGTCGGTGGGCGGGAAATAGGGCGCCAATACACATCGGTCGGCACATCTCCGCCTCAGAATCTTGCACGCCGCGCAAGGACTGAGAATGACGGACGGCGGAGAAGAAGAAGAAGGAGAAGGAGAAGGAGATTGAGATAGAGGAGTTGATGAAACGGCGGTGATCGTGTCGCTGCCTTCCATCTCCGACGCGGCGGAGCAGAGAGAGGGAGAGAGAGAAGTGGGGTTGGGGTTTGGAGTTGCAGAGGGAAACGCAGAGATATAAATAGAGAAAAGAAAGAGGAGAAAAAGGCCATCAAATTAGTAAGTTTGAAAATTATTGTAAACTTTTTTTTCTTTTTCTTTTTTGTTTTTTTTGTTTTGAGAAAGGAAAAAAGGGTTATTTCTTTCTTTTGGTAAGGCTGCGTCCTTAATTAATTATGAAATTCCAATTAGTTAGGTTTGTGATTATACTTTTTCTTTTGGCATTTATGATTTATTTGTGTGAAACCTCTTTGGGTTAAGAAAAGTTTATATAGAAAGTGAAAATTTTTGGTAATTATACTTTCCATTCGCATTTTGACGCATGATTAATTAATATATTATACTATATAAAGTCAACCTGAACATACGTCAATCGGTGAAAATACTTATTTCATCTTGAGTTCAAATCTTCACTCCCACTTGTTTTACTAAAAAATTATATTATTTAATAAGGTCCATGTTATTCTTAAATSTTGCTTTAATAAGAATAAAAAAATGTTGTTTTAATAGCTAACAATGAATGGTGGTAGCCGTAGTACCAAAATTGTTTTATAGAGTCTCCGTGAAAGCCATGATTTCAACTCGAAGCCTTGAGTCGAGGATCTTTAAAGATATCTTCAAAATTTTCAAACCCTTACCGAATATTTGACGTATAAGATGGACTACTAATTTCTTAACTAATTGGATTATGCTAAAAAAAATATATACCACGTGCTATTTTATTTTGTTGAATTGTCCATATATCTGAATGTGAAATTATTATATGATCGGAGGTTGATACTYAGTGACTCAAAATTTTAGGATGTAATTAAATGTGCTAAAATAACTATATTTTATATTTAAAAAAAAAACTATAGTTTATTGGTTAAAGTATGTGCATCTCTTCTTAGAGTTGATCCCTTGTTTGTGATTTAAAAGAAAGTTTATGTTGTAATGGTAAATTTTTAAATTTTAGAAAATAAATAAACACAACTACAAAATTAATCATACTCAATTATGGATAGCCCGAGTCATTTGCACTTTGCAAAATTAAAAAAAAAAAGAACACAATTGTTATATATTCTTATTTCCTAATATTTTTTTTTTAAAAAATACAACATGTGGGGATGTAGATCGAACTTACAACCTATCGGTTGTAGATATATGCCAACCACTACTGAACTATACTTGCTTTTGCATTCCTCCAAGAATTGAGATGATCCAAGAGGTAATCATAAATGAATTTATGTTACCTTTTTTTTAAATTATGATTTAATTCCCCATTAATATGATTGTTTGATTCAAACAGGAGGGTGGCGCCATAGTTGAAAATTAAGTTTTCTCCTTTGGAATAATTGCGTTAAAGAAATTTTTTCTTATTTAATTCAATAATCAAATGCCTAATTTTCCAAATATATGACTTTGTGATTAGGGACTCCCCGATCTCTCTCTCTTTCCAATTTTCTTGGACTTAAGTCATAAACTAAGACCATAAAAGTCTTATAATTATTCAATGACACAACCACATTTTACACGTCATTCATTTCTGAAATAATAGACTTGTTTCTGCACAAACCGAAGAACTTATTGGACTTGCTTTTTTGAAAAACCATTTGTTATACTTAACAAGTTAATTTAAAATGGTACAAAATTACRTTTTTAGCCCCGTATATGTATATGTGTGTTTGTGAAAGACTATAACATGCGAGAGCGAGGATACAAAGTCACGACCTGTCTCATTTAACTATTTACTTAGTACCAAACCTTTTAATAGGCTGGTCATTCCTTTAGCTTTTGTCTGTTTAAAAGAGTAATGACTTGTGCGGTTGTTGTGAGCAGGTGATCTTATGTGGACTTTGATGTGGGTAGCTGGCAACCTAGAACCAGAGCTTTGCACTGGTGTGGTGCTCGACTACGTACACTCTGAAACTTAAATTAGTACTTAATCTAAGTTGATGTAAAGTTGAGTTTAGTTGAAACCTAAAAACACGGAGATTAGTATCTTTGAGAAGGTGAAACTCTACCTTTATGGAGGGAACATTGGAAAATGGTATCATGTAGTTGTTAGGAGATCATTTGCCTACGAAAAGAAATGAACATATTGTCGACTATCAACAAATCTTTCGCCAATAGAACTTTCTCTAGGTTGAAGCCAAGCTGAGCTTACGTTTCAACATATGACCCCTTCTTCCTCGTCCTCGGCTCWTCCAAGCTGGAGCGTGGATGCACATGTCTCAAGGAGGGAGGGCCACATAGTTTCCTTTGATTTTACCCTAACAACTTGCATTGGTGAGTGGCTGCTCCCACCACCGAGACAATGCTATGTTTCTACTTCTAAAACCACCACTTTGCAACATGCCCATTTCTTTGAAAGTGTCCTCAACTTTACAAAATTAGATATTATCATCTAAAAACATACTTATCTATTGGATCATCTTTACCACTTTTTTTCAACCTGTTAAAGAAGATGATCCTTTTTAAAATGTTATAATATAGAATACCCTTTCACATTAGAGGGAAAGAGAAGCTGGTGATGGGATGGTTTGCTAAGAAGAAAGAAAAATTCCTTAATAATAGAGATTCTGCCAACTGTTATATTCATATTGGGTTCTAACTTTATGTGACAAAATTTTCCACTACTTAGAAAAATCTGTGCGCTTCTTTAGACGTGATATATTCCCCATTCCATCTTCCTCTCATCCACTTCCAGAAAACAGTATTTTCCGCGTGGACCTATGCAACATACAAGCCTGCTCTTTCTCTTCAAGCTCATCTGATCTGGACCGCCCATCGTTTGCACTTCGTAGGAACTACAATATTATAGCAACAATGCATTCGGTATACAAGAGTGGCAGACAATTGCATAGAACTCTGTTCAAGATGAGAAGTAAGCATCGAAAAAGACAATCACTCATTCTTATAACTAGATGAGTACAACAAAGCAAACATTCAAAACTTGGCTCACATAGATCATTCAAAACTAGAAACTTGATTGGAATGATTCAGTTTTGCTAATTATATGACAATATTAAGAATCATAAGAACCAAACTAAACCGACCCAAACCGGTTTTCTTTTTCTTTTTCCTTCTTCTCCATTAGATAATATCATGTCCTGCCAGTGAAGGAATATCGTAATCAAGTTGAACAACTATGGCAGCATTCTCATCCTTCCAAGTGTACTTGAATTATACGGCAAAAGATGTTCTGATAAATTTTGGTCAAAATTAAACATTCCCTTTAACACAAGCAACAAGGAAAAGTGGTAGGTTGCAGACTTAATAAATATGAACATTAATGATGCAAAGTGAACATGATACTGACATTATACTGCTTCAGGGTCTTGATCATCTTCAAAGAAATCATATGGTAGGGGCTACAATGACTACATGAAGATTCAATCATGGTAATTAATGCTAAAAGTGGCAATCACCCAAGTGCTAATTCTTGACACTTGACTGGAATTTTCAAACTTATGAATATGAAAAACATATGAGCACAGCCAGCACACCAGCAGAAGACCAATACTAGTGCAGCAAATTTTCAAACCTACAGTTTTAAAGGGAAAAAAGGGGTATGGAATCGCCAATTTTTTGCAGCTCCCATGGTTTTAGAAATGGCTGCAAAGTTTTCAAATTTCTGGAGTGTTCTGCTAATTGGCCTTCATTAGCTGTTCCTCCCATTCGTTTCAAATAAAGGCCCACACGTTTTCAAGCAACAAGGACTTTGTAAGAATGCAGCTTCCAACTCAGACTGCAAAGTTTATCCACAAAAGTTTCTAAAAACCAGTCTTTTAGGCTGCTGATTTAAAAGATAATAAATTAAGTACCATCTGTCACTAAACCAATGATTGAAAATGACCATAATCAAAGAATCCATTGAATTTTTCCCATCTTCAAGAGATAATCTTATTTTCCAGCCATATTAACCTAAGATAAGAGCGGAGAGAGGGGGGAGAGAATGTGGTTGATGGCCTACCAGTCAACTTTTGGCTTTAATTGTTCAGCTGAGGTAGGTTCTGGCTGAGGCTGACTATTTATCCATATAAAGGGGATGTGATGAAAATTGTTAGTGGTTTTCCTTATATCGTTAAAGGAGAAAAATCTATCACCATCTAAGAACTTTTAGGCTTTATGCTAACCTTAGGATTGAGCATAGAAGGGGAAATTCAAGTATTTTCCTTTTTAAAATGATATATATGCATGCATGTGTGTGAATAAAATACTATTATGAACATTAGAAAAAAGAAAAGAGTTGCAGATAAGTTAAGTTCTAAAGGTAGGATGGATTGAATCATATTTAAGACGGTTTGCCTTAGAGATGATTTTAGATATTTCTTAGTGGACGAAAAAATCTAAGGTTCCATTTGATAACAATTTCTAGTTTTAAAACATATGCTTGCTTCCTCACCGTTTAGAACAAGTTCTTTAGAACAAATTTGAATTCCAAATTCGAAAAACAAAACAAAGTTCTAAAAGCGACTTTTTTTAGTTCTGAAAAACTAAATGCAATTCGATTTAGATAAATTAGATACAGGATAAAGTAAGGGGTCAAAAGGGGCTTAAGTTAGCCACTACTTGCAAACTAGCGATGTGAATAAACTTAGGTGAGTAAGGATCAACTACCAAATATCCTCAAGCTCAGACATCTCTAGAAAATTGCAAAGAACAGAGGAAGATTGAATGCAACCACATCTATGTTGATTAGCATACTCTTTCTTTCAATTTATTCACATCTACAAAGTAAAAGCTAGAGATATTTCTCCTAAAATGCATGAAGGTTGCATCACAATGAAAGGAGAAATGGGCCTAAATTTCTACCTGCTGAAATGGAGGAAAGCACGAAGAAACTCCCTCACCGACAGATGTCCTGGAATCACCTCCTTGGCGAGGCTCAACAGTTCATAAATCAAGCCTGGAAGGGAACAGTCAGAATCACCAGAATGGACTCCAGCCAACTCATGCTCCATTAGTCCATTATCCCACCAATTGTCATATTACCATGTGAATCAGCTAGTGYATCAGGACCAATTTCTTTAGCATCAGATAAACAACAAAAGGGAGTAGTCAAAGTTATGAAATGAGAATCAGCTCCTCCTTAGCTAAATATGTTAAATCACCGATGAATCCAAAAATTAAGCTAAGGATTAAAGTAAATTTAATCATTTATACGATACCTAACCTTGACAGGCAGCAGCCCCATTGTGGTTGTTCTATCTCTAACTCCTCAAGCATTTCACTGAAGCTGCATCTATGGAAGCTGGAGACGTACCCCATATGTGAAAATGCCCATTGCCACTACCACATTTAAGCTTGTTGTCATCTAAATAGTAAATACTGCTGAACGGATAGAGCCTATTTCAATGGAGTTTGGCCACCAAATTGCACGTCGATGCAGCCAGGGATTCCTAAACAATGATGATAAAAACATCTTCAACTGTTTCAAAAGTAGAGACGATCACGAAATCATAAGTTAGATTTTAGAATAACTTGCCTCGAAAAGCCGGTGTTTTGTTTGTTATATGCTTTGGAATCTGATCCAATGAATAACCAAATGACAATTTTTCAGCCACGCTTTGGGAAAACCAGTAGCCCACAGAACCCTAGGTGAGGTTCTTGAAACTTTTGGGTTCATTTCAATTGATCGCTACTTTTGAACCCGCAGCGAACCATATTGGCCCGTCTGTACGATTTCATGAACCGAACAAATGGATCCTGCCATTTCCGCAGGTTGAGCAAACTCCGTAACTGGGTTGTGCTTCGACATGAACAGAGTAGAAGAACAGTACAAATGTCGCGATAAAATGCTCATCCACGAGACTACGATTTCTGGAAATGAAATTTGAAAATTCCCACTCCCCAGTATGAGATACTGAAGACGATCGCGTCTAGTTCTGGACGTACAGAAGAAATTCGTGTTTGAATGTTAGGGTTTTTAAACTTATCCCAAAAAGAAGGAACCAGTGGTTTTAGTTAGCCATAAGAGGCAGATTTTTACCTATTTAATCATCTGAAATGCCCCAAAATTACAGGCCAACAGATTTGGGGGAAAAAGAAGAGAAAAAAAAATCGATGTGCAGTGTTCTTGTGTTGCCTGAAGGGAAGACAGTAAGATGATACAACAACAATCATATACAGAAGTACCCGAAAACGATCACGCTACCAAACATCACTAGAAGTAAAGAACCAAAGCCTCAAAATGCATACATGTGATGACAATTGACAATCTTATATCTCAAACAACAGATTAGTTAAGAATGAATCCAGCTGGGTCGTGCCTTTTCCATCCGCGCTTCCCCGGAGGGTTCTTCGTTGTCAATGCGTCGGTTGTTCCTGAATGCTGCAATGCCAATCACATAAACAATCGCCAGAATGATTAAGACAACAATGTTGATCACGGAGACCTTCCTCCAGCTCTTCTTGAGGGTGGCCAGCACGCCTGCTTTACATGAGTTGCAGTCGTAACAGAGTTGCGCTTGATCGTTGTTCCACTTCGTGCAGTCGGGATTGGAGGGCACCATCCCTTCTCCACCAGTCCAGAGAGTCTCATTTTGATAGGTAAAACCACACTCTGTAAGGGGCTTGCAGCAACCAGACTAAACAAACCAAATCGAAAACATTCAGACTCGAAAAGAGCGGGTTTATTAAACACAATAAAGACGGAACATTTTCCACACATCTTTGAGCTCATTACTGTCTTGCTACAAGCAGACATCAGGTGCAAAAGAATAGTAACAGAGAGGCAAAAAATCAAAACTCATGGATACTTTAAACTGTGCGTAATGACCTGTGATTAAAACATACAAAGTCTAACTAATCTATGTCTTGCAATTGATCAATCTACGACTCTGTTTCATATACAATAAACTAAGGAAAAGGGGGAAAGGGCAGATAGTTTGAGGGTAATATAACCCCCCATCCGCCATCGTCTGACCGATAAATGCTTCAGAATTAACTTGTCAATGGGAAACCTTACTTTCATCAAACAAATAGAAGGATAGAAGTTTCAGAATTACTTCATCAGATGGCTTTGCCTTCTACTCTAATTCAGCACACAAAAGAATGTGTCCCATCATAAGGAGGATATTCCAAGAGAAAGGGTAAAGCAACCTCAAAAAAAAAAAAAAAAAACAAGCAACAACTTTCAAACCCAGTAAACACTGCTATCGTAGAAGAAGAGGGAAAAGTGACATGTGGGTCTTTCAAAAGAAGAAAAAAAGTGCCACATTGATGCTAGAACATACAAATTATCTAAGAAAAAGCTTTTCCCCCAAAAACATGGATGGTTTTACTGATTTTGGTTCATCTTTTTCTGGAAGCAAGACAGTGGCCACCGGCCAGATTATATCGGTTGCAACAACAGAAAATCTTTAGGCAACAAGTTGATTTCACTCTTTAATGTGTTCTTAATGATTCAGTCATCCCTTTTTGGGGAACTACTGGGTGATCTTTAGAAAATGGAGGTTGCCTCACAGAAGAAGATGTGCAATAATACACTCTCACCATCCTTCCACTTAGGCCAACCTTAAGAAGAAAGAAGTAATGGAACTTCCACCTTTTAAACATGAAAAAAGTATAGTTTCTATTTGCACAAAAGCTATCCCCAGTAAATAACTTGATATATCTCACCAACAAAAGCAACCAGAAGAACTTCCTTGAGTTGAGCTTTTCCATTTAATATTAGAAAACCTTAATCAAATCACAACTCCCTAAAAGTGCCTTTTCTACACCCTCCTCCTTCCTTTTGCAAATCAAAAGAGGGTGGATCAGAAATCTAACCCCCAACCCAACAAATCCATTTCCAATATATTTTCAGAAAAAAATCAACAAACAGGGGAAAACAAATCTCCAATCTCAAGAACAACATAAAGAGAAAACAATACCTCAATAGGGCTGAGCCTCCTGAGACTAAACATTTCAACAGTCTCAGGGACACCCCCAACGGTTCTTCCCATCTTATTGCAAACCTTGGAATCCCTAATACACGAGCTGATTTTAACCCAATAGCCATAATCCGCAACTCGGTCCTTCAACCAGCCGGAATAGTCCTCAAGAAAGTAGTCCAAATAGGTCCGGCTGGGCACCGTCCGGCCGGCCCCCTTATCGGTGACCGCATAAGCGAAGACAATGAAGGCAATCAGAGCGACGATGACGAAGAACATGACGAAGAGGTAGAGCCACATGAGAAAGGTGTTCCGGTAACACGCGCCAGCGAATCCCGCTAGAGAGACGACCATGATGGAGACTCCAATGACGATCAAGGGCCACTGAAGGAATCTGAGGCACTCGGTGCTGTTGGCTTGGGTGCTGAGCCAAATCCCGCCGGCGAGGATCGGGATAGAGAGAAGGAAAGTGAGGAAGTTGAGAAGCCCAATCAAATGGTTGCTGGTTCTCATACTTGAATGGCCTCTGATTCGCTTCTTGCTGCTACTTCTGAAATCCAAATGGTTGGAGGTCGTAGAACAAAAAAATGGCGAAACTTTGTTTGTGGGTTTGTCTGTAAAAAGTGTAATTATAGGAGAGGAGAGCAGGTAGATGGAGAGGAGTGGGGCAATCAAGAAGGTGCGCTGTGTACTGCACACTGCACACTCTTGCATGGACCGAGCCGACACGTCGTTCAGCGGACGTTACGCCCCAAAAGCTGGGGATACGCTTTCTTTTTCCAATTTCCAAACGGGCGCGGGAGAGACACATATTTTAAAATCCTTTTTTTTTTTTACCTTTTCATTTTAAAGTGATTTATTTTAAATTTAGACTAAATAATAGTCTCTCATCTTTGCAAATTTTTCTCAATTTGGTACCTCTATTTTTTTTTTTTAAGTTTTCAAAATTTACACTCTGAAGTATTGAAATTTTTTAATTAGAGGTATATTAAAAAATGGATTTTATTAATTGGTAGGAGAAAATTTGAGTTTCATAAATCAAGTAGTATATATATGGTATGCTGATAATAGCTCGATTTTTTGTACTTTTGGTTAGACCAATTTATTTTGAGATTTTTTAATACAGTAACATAAACTGAAAATTGGGAAGATTGATAATGAAATTGAGAACTGGCTAAAATATTTTGTATGTCGAGCTTAAATTTAATATGAATCGATTTACTAAACATAACTAATACAGATAAATCTAATTGGACCGAAATTTAAAAAAACAAAAAAAGAAAACATGCCTTTGTTGAATAATAAATTAATTACAATCTCCGTCTACTTTATTTTATGTTGTATATTTTAATTGTGTTAACTCTACACGATTAATTAATTCTTTTTCAATTATGGTATTAGGATGTTTCATGTGTTTTTTGGACACTTGTTGCTTCTTGGTCATTAATAAATACACTTCACTGCAAAAAAAAAAAAAAGAAAAAAAAACCACTATATTCTATTTTTTAGGTTGATATTTAATTACAGGGTAATGAAATTCAATTATATATCACTCTTTCTGGGTAGTAAAATTTAATTAAATTACATCAAGTTCACTGATGATCAATTTAATTGATTTAGAAAATTTATTTTAGTAGCTTAGTTTTATAAACTAATGGTAGATATTTATTATTATAATAATAATTGTGAATATAATATTAAAAATAATATAAATATAGATTTTATTGCCATTGAATTATTAAGTTGTTTCATTCTTTTTACCTTTTGTGGTATATACGTTTTAGAAATATTACAATTCAGAAAGAATGAAAAAAGAAAAAGAAAAAACGAGATGGCGATGTTTCTCATACTTTTGATAGTTATATAATTGCTAATAGTAATAATAAATACAACTTCAAAAATATAATTAATTAATATAATACATGTGCATTTTATTTTGTATTTAAAATTAGTGTAATATTTTATTCGTGCCCATTTGCTTACGAACAACACTGCTGGGTTGTCATTAATGCAAGAAGTTGAAATACTTAAATACCCCTCACTTCAAGGTATGGACTTGTGTGAGCAGTTTCTCCATAAATATGAGGGAATATATATTTTTTCTTGAAAAAAAAAAGATAAGGTTGTATAATAACANTAAACATTTTCCTTTCCAAATTAAAAAAAAAAAAAGTGATTTGAATCCCCACACATGTGATGTACTATTTAATAGAAACTACGACTTTTAAATTGTTGAAAAATAATTTAGTTACCAAAAATTATCTTTCATAAACTATAATTAAAAGAAAATTTAATTTTTATGCAATTCGAAAAATCGTACTAGTTTTTATATTGACCTTTAGATTGTATGAGGTTGTACATTGAAACTTTGATAACCATTGTAAATTTTAACTTAACATTAACGAAAAAAATGTTCCAATACTTACTCTAATATTAAATACGTGCAAGTAATTTGTACATTTGGATATATTTTCGTTTAAATAATTGTTAAAAAATGTTTCTTTTTAATTATGTGGGGAAAATTATAAAATATATATGTGACACGAATTAATAGGCTTTTCAAGAAAAGTGATATTACATATGGGTCTTTTTTAATTGGTGTGCTTTTGACTAGACTATTTAATGGTCTATATCGTTCATTGATCAAATTTAATTCCCTACAGAGAAAGCTTAATTTTCATTAAAATGATTGAATTCTTTTCGAGTTTTAATTGATTTTATTAAAATTAGTGGATAAATTAACAATGGTAGAATAAAATGTAAAATTTGCTATTACCTCCATCTCAAACTTGTTTGCCATAAATCATTTTTTGAATAAAACAAAAAAAAATTATATCTACTTAATAAATGTTCTTTCATTTAAAACTACCTTAATTTTTGTCGATATGAACATAGTTGGACAGTAATTGACATCTACTTCTTCCCTTGAGGTCGGAGGTTAGATCATCTATGTCCCCAAATTGTTGTACTCAAAAAAGGAAAAAAAAACTACTTTCATATGTTTAAACCTAAAAAGATAAAGTTAACGTAGTTTATCGATAATATAATTAATATGTTTTTTTTGTGTCACGTTTTAATTAGATTTATTGTGATGAGATCAACTAGTTAAAACATAAAATAATATTATGCAAATCAGGAGTTGAAATTTCCACTCAAGTAAAAAAATATATATATACCTAGTAATTTAAAAATAATATAAAATTAATAGTTTATATTTCGCATTGAAAAAAATCTCGCGGTTCATAATTGTACTCAAGCATGTTAGGTAGTGGTTCAAAATCAAATTCACACTTCACATCGTTTCTTTTTTTTTTTGACATAGCAAAATTCCTTTTTAAATTATAAGAAAAAAAAAACAGACATTTTAATGGGTGTGAAATCAAATATATAAAATCCGGATAAGATTTTTAAGAAATATGTGGTTATGCTTCGCCTAATTTAGCTAATTGCAACCATTCATAAGAACGAAAATCGAAAATTTTTGGACCTTTTTTTAAAATAGTTTTGTTTGTCTATTATTTATTTTCAGAACACGTGATATTTTTAATCTTGCATATAAAATAAGGTTTTTTTTTTCTTTTTCCAAAATATAAACGAAGTTGCCACCTCATTAACACCTTCCTTTCATTTTGACTTTTATTCTATTATTTTAAAAAACATAACTGTTTTTCTTTTTCTTAAAAAGAAAAACATTTTTCTTATATTTTATAGTATATTTTTTTAATCAATTTAACATTTTTTCTTTCACCGGATTTGACATTTTAGTTAATTATATATGCTTTAAACGATTGAGTTGAAGTTGTCATTAATGAACTTTATACCATTTAAGAAAACTTCATAGTATTTTGCAATCAATCAAAAATTTAAATATTTACATAAACAAATATTTGAATGAAAAATTATTCATGCCCTTCAAAAACCTAAACAGTTTTTATTTTGTACACGTGATTTACAAATATTATAATAAATTACACATTAATTGATATAATTGAGAAAAAATATCAATTTGTACCCTTAAAATTGGGAGGCTATATTACTATTTACCATAAACTTTCAATTTCATAAAATTGGACCCTAAACTTACATAAGTATTGTAATTTTTACCCTCTATTCAATTTTGGTAGGTTCACCAATTAATTTTAACAAAAAAATAATATAAAAAAAATTAAAAGCTTGGTAATTTAATAAAATCAAGTTTTGTACAACATTAAATTCACTCATGCACAAAATCAACTACAAAACAAGTGTGCTAAAACTTATAAATTTCAACTAGAACTGACTCTAAAATGTCGTCAATTTTATACCAAATAAATATTATATAATTTATCAGTGTACACGATTAATATAATCAATGATTCTTCGAATGAAAACTTATCCTAAGGTAAACACTACAAATATTTTCAAAATTTTGAGGTAAATACCGCAGCACTACCAAAACTTAAAGTGGAATTTAACGAAATTAAAAGATTATATACACCTAACCAAATTAAAAATATATACAAGTTTGACGGAATTGGAATAACAATTAATTAAATATGACCACAACGACATACCATTGTTTCAAATAATTGTCAATTAATCTCATGATTATTAATGTTTACATGACTAAATAACTAGGATTAAAAGGCCAATATTTATATTTATTTATTAATTTTCCCTTTCTTTTGTTGGTTCTGTAGAATTGTTGAATGAGAAATTTTGACAAATTACTTAATGCCACATCATAATTTAAAATTATATTTTGGGATCAATCATAAAATTACACGTGACCTAAATTAATTTTAAATCGGCAAATCAAATTGTGCCACGTGTCTCTCTTGGATGAAATCAACTAATTGGATCAAAACCCATAAAAAAATTGGGCCTAAGCCCACGGCCCATTAGAGCCCATGGCCCATACAAGACTCTATAAATATGGTGGGTCACCCCTCATTTAGGGAGAAGAAAAAGATCCAGAAGCATTGAAGATTTAGAGCATTTACAATCGTTTAGAGTGTGAACTAAAGATTTGAAGACGACGAGACTTCAATGGTCGAGCTGCAAAACTGAAGTACTTCATCAAATAGCAGATTTCGTCAAGTGAGCCAAAGACACCTTGCCAAGCATCAAGCTTCATAGCTGAAGACTTTAAGGATTCTCCAATACGCTAGAAGCTGAAGGCGTAGACCCATTGATTCGAGAACAAGCTCACAACCCTTTGAATTAAACTTCACATCTGAGAATTAATCAGAGGATCATACATTGGAGATTGTAACACTACATATATTCAATACAAATACAAGTTCATAAATCCGAGTTTTATCTTGTTGAATTTCTCGTTGAACAAGAATAAATATGAAGGCGTGGGTGATATTGGCATCCAATAGCGAATTTTCAGTGTTTTTTAAATCTTAAATAGGATAACATTTTCAGATTTTTTTATAGTCGCCCATTAAAAGGGAATGTTTTCTCAATTTTTGTTATAGCTATTGCAGCCGCTGAAGTAATTATTGATACAACTATTGTTTCGTCAATTTATCGTAACAGAAAATCAACTCGTATCAATCAATCGAATTTGTTGAATAAGTAGTATTTATTTATCAGATAAATTATCATATTCATCGAGTCAAATTATCTGTATGATACGTAATCCATGATCATGTTTGCGAAACTGTAAATTATCCTTAAATTTTACATTTTTTCCTTTTTAAATGTTGGAGAAGCCAAATATACGAGATCATAACGATCTAAGAGTGTCTCGAAGAAATGCTTGGAGACCTAGACAAAAAGACTCGACAACTTGTATAGAAAAGGATTTCTTGCGGCGCAATTCTTCCATACCAACTTGGTTGGTTGGTGCTGCTATTGACATAACAATCAGTATGCTGAAAGTCTCAATACTGTCCTTGAAATTTTATAAACATTTAAGAAAAAACATCAGTTAATATGGTGTAATCTTAAAAGACGTGGCAATTAATTGGAGCTTACATTAAATAATTAACTAATACTACAACAAATTTGACATTTAATATGGTAAAATATAGGTCAATCATTGTTTCTACTCATAATTCTTTTATTGTCATTAAAGATTAAATGTGTTGTAGGGCTAGCTAATTATTCCAAGCAAGCGTCCCTTAAATTCTTAATTACTACGTCATTCCATATTCTGTTGCATTAACTTTTCATCTAAAATATCAACAAATGTTTGCTCACATAGTACTTTATTKAAATGTTTATAAAATGTCAAAGATAGGATTGAAAATTTTGAAAAAAATAGGGGCATTTTTAAACAAATGGCAAAGGGGATTTTTTTTTTTTTTTTAATGATTTACCTTTCAAATTCTCAGTATATTTGTTTGTTTTTATTCGTCTTTTTTTGTGTGGAAAAATTATATACGTGGCAACCAAAAGTTTTTTATTGGCGAGACGAGACATAATAATTATCAATAATAATATCGTCGCACTTATTGAATGGTGTGAGTGTGAACACTCAAGGAAAAGCCAATATATGATTTTGCAAAAATGTTTTAAAAAATATTTTTCTTTAAATAACCCATTTCATTTCTTTTATGCTTGCAATAGAAAAAGACTTGACAACAACCATTGACTTTACTGTATATTTTAAAAATATTTTGTCCAATATTTTATTTTTTTTAGACAAAAATATTTTGTCCAATATTCTGTTTGGATGTAAATGTAACGTAATTATATAATTTCAACAATTATTGTTATTCCAAGAAAATCTGAGATGATCCTACCAGCTGTCAAGTGGATGAAGATTTTTGTTTTCTTTTTTGGTTGTTAATTGTGATTATTATTTATTATAAAGTTATAAACTTTGTTAGCTTTAGATTTCAAAAAATAGCTTTATAGTGCTTTGGAATTTGAGAAGGTAAATAAAAATTCGATTTACCCTGTACTTTTAAAAAGGGTTATTTTGATCTTTTAATTTTATCGATTTCATTTGCTTTCAGTTATAAAACTTCTTAAAATATTAAAATTTTATAAACATATACTAAAATGGTCCATTTTTTAAAATTATAAGATTAAAATGAATATATTTTGAAAGTATGAACTAAACTAAACAAAGTTTGAAAGTACGGAGACCAAAATAGACTTTGTGAGAGTACAAAGATCAAAATAAACCAAAAGTAGAAAGCAATAGACCAAAATAAGTATCTAAAACCTATAAATTCAAACTCTAAAACAATCTCGAATTTTAACGTGTTTGGTAATTTATGAGGAGTTGATTGTATTCTTTTACCATGCATTTTTATTTTACAAATTTTTAAAATAACCACACTTGTCTGGATCTTGTTACTTACTTATACCTACTTTCGAATGTGTATTGTTTTTAGTAATTTGAAAAAATAAAAATAAGATTCTTATTAAATGTAAGATAGATTGGTAAAAGTAAACAAATCACACGTTAAACAAACAAAAAAGTAGGCAACAGGAACTTAGTTTATTATAGCAAACAAAAATTTCCTTTTTGAACAACATGTTTATGATATATCTCGTATGCAAATATTAACTTTTTTTAGTGTAAAATTGTAACAAATTGTATCATTATTATTATTTTTTCAAACAGATACTGATTGTATTATGTTTTTAAAACAACATAAAGAAAACGTATGTATATACTTTAGTTAGTATTTTTTCAATTTAGTTGTATTTTTTTTTCCAATTTAGAGTTCAATAATTGTGAGTGATTGAACTTGAGCCATTGACTCTAGGTGCTTTATAATAGTTGTTTTTCTTTTTAATATAACATGTGAGGGGTGGATCGAACTCACAATCTCTTAGTTGAAGATATATATCAATTACGTTTTTTTTTGTCAATATAAAAATTGGTTCATCATAGAGTTACACGAAATCATATGGAGTGGCAAACTTACACATAATTTAATGGGTTAAAATACATATGTTTGACAAGGTTGTAAGTTTGAATTCATCCATTAAAAAAACGTATAATTCTTTAAAAATTAAATGTATGGATCGAAAAGTATTAAAATGCAACCGACTCAATTAAAAAACAAAAAACAAAAGAAGAAAATGCAACGTTGGAGACTAAAATTATACAAAAATTGTTAAATGAAATTTCGAATTAAGAAAAAACAAGTAAAATAGTTTAAAACAAATTGAATCCACGTAGGAAAAAACAATTGGAAGAACATAGCAAAACGGTTCCATAACCATCATTCACGGCCGTCGTTTTCTCCCTCATCACACTCTGACTCTGGTTTGTGGTTTGATTTTCATATAACATATTTTAATACTATTTTTATAATATTAATAAACCGTATATTTGTGTTGAACCTCGAGAGCTTGAAAGTTGCAGCCTTTTGCTCTTTTCCACACTTTAAAAATCTCATATTCTTCTTCTTCTTCAGCTTCTTCCTTTGAAGAAAATGGCTGCATAAGCTCGCATTTCCTCCAGGTCTGCCCTTTTCTTCTGCTCTGCAGCTGTAGTTTTTTTTACCCTTTTGATTCTACTGCAAAATGGGTTGATTTTCTACTGTTTCATGGGACATTCCTCTAGATATTGAAGCTACATTTAGGGTTTTTTGGTTCTTTTACTTGCAGTTATTTTATTTAGTTTTTACTTTTCTGAGTGGGGAAAGTTTGGGGCTAGATATTTTCTGAGAGACAATGGGAAAATAGATTGTTCTGCATTTGGGGGAGTATGGACAAAACAAGAAGTTTGGAATTTGGAGCAGTTTTTTCCTTTTTTCCCCCTTAGAAAAAAAAAAAAAACTCTTCTTTTCATGCTGCGTTTCAAATTTCAAACCCTCTTACATTTAATTATTCGATCGTTGTCCCTCTCCTTCTTTCACGGCCACACTGGGAGGGAACTTCGCTGTTAAATTACCAAAATGCACCTCTGGGCCATGGAAAATTACCAAGTACTTCAATTTTTCCCATTTGGGGGAAAGGGTTACTTCTGGAACTGTTCATTCTCTTATCTGTCGCTCTCTTGTAGGCCCTTAAGGCCATAATAGAGGGCCTGAGTATTAAAGAAGTCTGCTTGAAAGCTGACTGAACTATTTACTTTCTTTTCTTCTGGTTCATTTCCCTCTCTATCTCTCTTTCATCCCATATTTTCTCTTCTTCATTGTTTCTGCTGTAATATCAAGTTTATTTCCCCCATTTTTATGAACTTCACTTCACATTGGTCGCCATGAACGAGCTTTGATCCTCTTGCTTCTCTATGAACCTGATCTGTTGCAGACTTGCTGGTCTTGTGAGTGAGGGAACTGTCGAGTAGTTTGAACCAAATCCCTTTTGCTTGACATTTTTTTCTTCAGAAGGAAAGTGATGCAGACTTCAAAATCCAGGTAATTTCAAGTGCATTTTCTGGTTGTTTCTTTCTTCCCAAAAGTTTCCTTACTGGTTCTTGCTTGGTCATTTTACTGGAAATAGGTGTTACTGTTTGAAGCTAAATGTACTTTTGATACATTGGTATGAAGTAGAATAAACTAAGTGGTGCAGCCAAATGGTTCGGTTGATGATGTCGAGCATTTCATTATTTTCTGTTTAAATTTCTTGAGAATGTTTGAAAGATGCGTAATGTTGTGCTGTGCCTAACACTAATTAAGCCAAAGGAGGTTCCATGATTCTGTATGATGAAAGTTGGGTTTGTTAATAACTTCCTCAGCATTTGAACTCGGTTGAGAGAACCATCTCCTTTTCTTGCATCATGATTGGCCAACTGGTTGTTAGAAGTGTTTAAAAAGAATGAATTCAAACCATGGTGGCTATTTACGGAAGATTTAAATCTTACAAGGTTCTTTGACAACCAAATGTGGTAAAGTTAGATGATTTTCCTATAAGATTAGTTAAGATACGCGCAAGGTAGTCCAAGTACTTATATTTAAAAAGGAACAACAAAAAATTCATCAGTGTTCGATGAGTGACGAAGTCCTGTCTTGCTGACAGTCAATAAAACTGCTCGTTTAACAGCATGTTATACACGAAAATAATGCTAAAGATCCTTTACTTCTACCTGAACCTGTTTGAAATATTTTGATTCCAGAAGTTCATTGGAGGCACCCAAAAAGGTCTCTTTAAAAGCAGCCCGTCAAGTTAAGCCAGCAGCATTGAAGTGCGATTCGTCATCCTCTTCCAATCTAACGGGAAAAATATCTAAAGAGAGGAGCCCTAAAATTGTTGGCAGGTCGCCCAGAACTCCACTATCAGAGGTAAGCTATTTAATGAAGGTTGAAAGAGTCATGGCTTGGTTAAGTTTAGGAACTCTGTAGAATGACTAAAATATAAATCTTTTGCCGTGCTAGTGATGGTTCTTCAAGTTTTCATTGATTTTGCACCTTGATATATAGGAAATACAGTTTGTATTGAAGAATGAATCCAATTCTAATTTAAGAACAACCCATAAAAAAGCTTTAAAAGGTTATACCAAAAAGAAAAAAAAAGGGGGGAGAACACATAATTTACAAACATTTTTTCTCCAAAAATGTTCATATTTCTCATTTCAATTGTTCTTTTCTGACCTTACCTTCCATTTTATTTAGATTTATAGTTGTGGAAACCCAGAATCTGTGAATTTTCTCATATGAAGTTTTGAACTTGGATATTGCTTTGATTCGCCTGCTCACCGGAACAGCAGTCCAAATAATCAAACCTTTTCTAGTTATTGAGGTCTATTCTCATGGAAGCTAACTTGTGACAGGCCACTGACTTCTCATGTATATAAGAGGAACTGAGGAAGCGAGTTAAGGGGAGATGGGCTTCGGGTTGTTAGTAATGTGTCGGGTCGCCCCTACTTGTAACTAAATGATGCGACTGTTAGGTAAGCAGAGAAGAAGTTTTGAGTGAGACTGAAGAGTATATTATAGTTGTCATGTGAGGATCTAAGGGGAAGAGATTGTTTTTTTCAGTGGTTAAATAGAGGCTGGAAGAGTGGGGGAACTCTCTGATCTTCCCTGAATGATTATTTACTCTCTCTTGGGATTTGTGGACTGAATAAAGGTGTATTCTACCAACTTGGTTACTGTATTAGTAAATAGTTAGATGTGCTTTGTTGACCAAGTTATGAGTTAGGGCTTGTGTGTTAAAGAAAGCTCGTATTTTAAGAGTTAATCACCATGAGTTGGCATAGTGGTCGTTAAAACCAATAGAAAAAATGGCAAAGGGCTTACCTAATGGGAATGAATTCAAATCATGATCACCACCGACCTAAGATTTAATATTCTTCGAGGTTTTTTAGCTACCAAACTTAGTAGAGTTGGAACATTCGTGGATATAAGAAAAAAAGTACTATATTTTAGGAGATGTGATGTATTTTAAAAATGTGAATGGAAAAGAGAACCTTCAAGATTTGTTGATTATTTCAGATTGGAAGGTTCTTCTTTTGTAAGTACTTCGGTTGCAGGATGATGCCTTCTCATCCCTCGGCCCTTAGGCTATTCCTTTCCTCTCTTAATTTACATCTTTTTGTTTCTTGTAAAAGAAAAGGACCTTCAAGATTTTATTTAGTGGTTTTAATATGAACTCACTAGGTGCAGCGCAGTGCAGTAATGTCTGATCTGTTTTCTCTTTTGTTTAGAAGAAGTGCCAAAACAGAATATCCGAATTGGAATCTCAGATTTCTATTCTTCAGAAGGATCTTAAAAAGGCAAAGGAGCAACTGCACTCGTCCAAGTCACGGAAAGACCGAGCCCGGGTAGATGCCGAGGTGTCCACGGCATCATCAAATGTCAAGGGGCATCAGATATCTTCTTCTGAGCAAGGCCATCCTAAAGAGCTCCAGAAGCAAGCACAAGAAGATGATCAATCACTGCACTCCACATCCGAGGTCACCGAGAAGTCGGAATCTGTGGACTCCGTTGCCTTAGCAATGGTGAACTTAACGCAGCAGCTTAAAGTCAAACTTCAGGTTGTTGATGAATCCAAAGCTTTCCAGACTAAGCATACGGAATTTGCGAAAGAGAAGCATGGTAAATTGAAAGAAACATTGTCAGAAATTCTCTCTATTATGGCAAGCATGAAAAACCAACTGCAAGATTGTGAATTATCAGAAGCTCAGGTCCAAGCGCTTATTAGTGAAACTACAGCGCAGTTGGAAACTGCAAAAGAAATGGTAGACGTGCTCAGTTCTGATACTACAAAAGCTTTTGAAGATTGGAATTCAGTTTCTTCCGAGTTGGACGAGTCTCGGGATCACGTAAACCTATTGGAAACACTTGTTCGTAAACTAGAACTCTCCCTTGTTAATGCTAGCTGGAAGGGCTTTGATAAGTCTGCAGTTAACAAAAACCGAGAGCAGGAAATGACAGAAGATGAGACAAGGGAACTGGAACAGTTTGAATCTGATTTACGCCCTCTGCAGTCAGAGGTCAAACGACAGAAATCCGCTCTGGAAGTTTCTGAGGCAGAATACAGGGAGGAACAAGATCATAGTACCATCAAACCAAAATCTGCCAATGAGGCTAAACATGTGAAATATGATCCAAATCTGAGAGAGGTTGAACTCAAGAAGGAATTAGATAAATCAAGAGTTGAAATTGATGAGTTCAAAGCGAAGTTACTCGACAAAGAAACAGAATTACAGAGCATCTCGGAAGAGAATTTGAAGCTGAGTTCTAAGCTCGAGAAGAGCCTATCGACACATCGAGTATATGAACTAGAGAAAGAGCTGGAGGACTTGAAGAACTGCATTGCAGATTTAAAGGCCAACCTCTTAGACAAAGAGACAGAATTCCAAAGTGTAACAGAGGAGAATGAAATGCTGATATCTAAAATCAGTAGAAGGGACACAATCAAAACTAAAGCGACAGAGGAAACGTCAACCGAGCTAGTTACATCCTCAACAATAGAGAGAGAGACCCAAGCAAAACTCGGGATCATCACAGAAGATGCAGATCGAGGTACTGGTACTGGGAGGAAATCTGCAGGGGTAGCTGAACTAGAGGCAGCACAAGCAGCCAATGCAGAAATGGAGATGGAACTGAGAAGGCTAAAAGTGCAGTCGGAGCAGTGGAGGAAGGCGGCGGAGGCTGCTGCAGCCATGATCTCAGCCGGGAGTAACGGGGAATTCGTGGGGAGAACCGGATCAATGGACAGCAACTACAATGCCATCACTGGGAAGATCGGGTCGCTGTACTCAGAAGATCCAGATGATGATTTACTGAGAAAGAAAAATGTGAATGTACTAAGAAAGATAGGGGTGCTATGGAAGAAACCGCAGAAATAGAAAGTGGGATTTACATATATCCATGTAATGCAGTTTGTAGGCTTTGTAGTAGTTATGCTTTCACCACGGCCATTGATGTAATTTTCTTATTTTTGTAGAGAGCTCTCTTCCAAATTTGAGAATTCAGAATGCTATTAATAACTGATATGGCAGTTGATGCACTCTCTAAACTCTTACTTGGCGTTATCTGCAGATGTAATTAGCAATCTGCAAGATTCCATTTTCTTTGGACTATTTTTACAACTGAATTGACATTTGACATGACCCTAAAATATTTTACAACTGAAGATGCAATTTTCTTATTTTTTCTTTGTACTATTTTATATTACATTTGAGTTCAAGTTTAATTTAAAACAAAGATGGCAACAAATGAAGAATGAACTATTCTTAGTTTCATCTCTTAGAACTTTTGAACCACATGTGCTAAACACAACTGATTTAGTATGCTGGCATAACATCTCCAATGACAAGAAAAGAACTTATTACAAAGATATTTGGAAAATTTTTATGTTGCCCCTTCAAAACAGGGCATTCACAGAATACCTGTCTGAAACAAAAATCTCTGGCTAAATAAATATCCTCATAAAAAATTAAGCCTACCATGTATTATCTGAAACAATCACTGTAAATATGATCTACCTTCGCCTTAGCTTGGCTTTGATATCCTGTTTGGGGGATCATTCTGACTGTCCTTACTGAATATTCCCCAGCTTTTCTTTCCCTTGTTAATATTTTCGTTGGATTTTGTTGCTGGGAACTTCGTATTTTCTGAGGCTCCATGCAGGTAAGGATTATTCGATGGAGCATACGGAGGGCATCGATTGGATTGATAACTTGTGGCTGCTGCATCTTGCTTTCCTGGAGCATTGGCATTCAGAGAACTGAAGATCCCAAAGCTGGTTTTGGATGGACTGGGATCGGCATGGTGTGATGGATCAGGCTTGGATGTTGCATTTAGAGGATGCTTTATGTTTCTTAATGGAGAAGTATTGTTCTCTTCTCGCCTGGTTTCCCTCATGGGGGGCGAGAAGTTCGGGTTTGTAGGACGGTGCCTCCTCTGATCGCGAATCTGGGTTTCTGATCGGTGTGAATCTCTAGCACCTCGGCCCTTGTTGTCCATTACATTTGTTGGTTGGAATCGGGTCACAGGTTCAATCTTTTTGTATCTATTCTCAGCTTTGACTGAAGAATCTTGTTGAGAGAGTGGAACTGAGCTGGTTCTACCAGAATCAGGCAACCGCCTCAGTTGCGAAAGGTCTGAGATATTAACATCCCTGTCTGAAACAACATCCATTTTCTTGGCAGTGTATTTCGAGGGAATCCGATTTGCATCATCTTTCAAGTCAAAAACTTCGTCAAAATCATTATTACCATCAACAGCTGACCAGGTTTCTTTGGAATTCTCAAGATCAGCTTCAGAATCTGATTCTTCAGGATCCATTTCTTCTTCACTAGTTCTTGAAGCACGGGCAACCGAAACCAGAGGGGCAGTGCCATTTTGAATCTTCAGTCTCGGATTTGCAACAACTTTCGATGCTTTGCCGCCACCCCCTTTCTTTGAGGGACCAAATTTAACATGCCTGACTACAACATATGCCTGCCCTCTTTCCACTCTTGGTCCACTTTCCACCACTGCCTCATCCTCTATCTGCAAAAATATTGTTCGGTGGAAAAGATAAGATACTTAACGGAAATTTATAAATTGGAAACGTCAGGAGAGAAAATGAAGCTTTTGACGTGGCAATACCAAAGCAGAGAGACGAGATAACAAGCCACCCAAGTCTTGATCCTCACCGCCCCTGGCACTACACTGAAGGCAACATATAAAAAGTAAGACGATATTGGACGCCATGATGTTTACAACTTCAATTATGACCAACTTTAAGGCAGCCAGATGCAGCAATAGTGCATTTCACAAAGCAAGAAGTCTAAGAAAGAGATTACAATGGCAGTACAAATAGAGCAATCAAACAGTCATGATCTTACACACTAATGGCATGTCCTCATCCCATAAGACACCACATTTTAATAGGAATACTCGTGGAAATAAATGAAGGATAGAAACTAGAAAGTGAGGGAACTGGATGTTGCAACTAAAAATTTAGAGAAATTAGCATTAGTACCAAGCAGGTCAAATCTCTTCGGCCGGTGTGTGCATAAGGGTTAGTTAGTTAGTAGATCAGTAGTTAAATGAGATGGAGTTTGTTAAAGGGAATTGAAATGTTCAGCTGTTCAAAATAAGGAAAGAAGAAAATGAGATGAGGTAGACCATGTTGTGGGGATTTTGTATTGAAAAACACAAAGAAACAACAATTAACCTCTGAAAGGAAAAAAGAAACTAAGAAGAACAGAAATTATAACAAGTCATTTAATAAAATGGAAAACCAATACCTTCACACGGTAACCACGTTCCATCAATCGCTTAACCATATCAGCTTTCATCCTTAGGTCCTTCTCTTCCTAAAGACAATAAAAAAATATGTTTTAGTATCAAATACGAAGAGTGTTATTCTAAGCCCTCATAGTGGTCAAGAATTTTGCTGTTTGGATTTAAAGGACTCTTTGACAGGAAATGGGATTGTGTCTCACCTCTTAGTCTTAGTATCAAAACTATCACAATAAAATGGTGTTGTAAAGAGAGGAACCAAATCCTTAGCAGGAAGTAAAGATAATGGAAGGAAATTAACAAATGAAAAACTTTGTCTATATTTCAAATTTTGATAAAAGAAAATTTAATTAAAATTTTAAATCTAGGGAAATGTTAATAAACAAATAACACATTTGACTTTTCAATGTTTCCATCCATGAACTAGTATGGTCGCCAGAAGAGGAACCAAATCCTTAGCAGGAAGTAAAGATAATGGAAGTAAATTAAGATTTTTTCTTTTGATATCCATGAGTGTCCGAGCCAGTTTGCACACGTCTCAACTAATCTCGCAGAACAACCGCCTGAACCTACTACATTTGGTTGTTAAGGTAACTCGTAGGATATTAAATCCTACGTAGGTAGCCACCATGATTTAAACACATTCCCGCTAAACCCTTTACTATTTACGTTGGCCCTTATTGACCACTAGGTCAAACCATGATGGTGAAGTAAGTAAATATTTTAGGCCCTTGATTTCCAATCGCCTTTAAAAGTGCAGGACCAAAAATGCTGACAATTAAATAACAATCCTTTAAGAACATTTATCTTGAGCTATCATGAAGTCATTTAAAAAAAGGATGGTACAAAACTTTCATGGAGGGGAACTAGAGTACAAGCCATGGCTTAAAAAATAACATCCATGGTCATACTTGGACTCTTATACTCAATTTGGTGTCCTATCGAGATGGAGAGAATAGAGCCTAGAATAGAAAATTATGTTTCATCGGTAAGGGGTTCAATCATATTGCCACCAGATAGTCTTCAAGTTACATTCATGGCAGCAAAAGGTCTGCACATTAAAAAAACAAATGACTTACAGTTTTCCCAGTGAAGCGGACTTCTTTATGATCTCCCTTTCTTAAGCTCACTTCAGCCTGCAAGAATATAAATCTGACTGTTTTTAGTATCAATTTTAAGGAGTAATTTCTGAAGACCTGAAGTACTACTAACAGGTTTTCCGGCAGGCAAACAAATTAACTAAAACTAGCATAGTTTTAAAATGACCATTCAATAAATTAAGTCAAAGCTCTAGAGATTTGCATGGGTAATAGCAAAAAAGTCAAAATTGATTGCAGTACATTAGTTGTACTATTCAAAGCACCCAACTTAAGAAAGCAAAGGCAGACTGAATGAACAATCTTTCTGTATTATCCAACATGTCGGACAATTGGACTTAGTTACGTGTTTTATTTATGCAACCATGAAAGTAGCAAAAATGTTAGATTTGTGCATTCATCCAAGTTTAAGGCTGCATTATATCCTGTTCCATTCATTATCAAAGTGAAAACAATACGAAACCAACTTGATAAGGATCAGCACCAACATGGCAACAAGTACAGAAGTGATATAATAAATGATTGGTTTTAACATCCGGACCGAAAGCATTATAACTGTCCTGACAGAAGACTCAAATCCATATATACACATCCTTGAGGAACTCACCTTGCTTTTAACACGATCCTTCTCCCTAATTTGCTGTTTGTACTTCTCTCTGTGGAAGTCCATAATTTTACAGACAGGTGGATTGGCTTTTTGTTGGACCTGAAAAATATTTGACGCATGGAATCAAATTTTGCAGGACCTAATAAATAGGAAAAACTATATTAATTACTAAGACTGAAAGTTGAATTATAAACATAAAAAGACAATATAAGCTGGCAACATGAAAAATGGGAGTTTACCTCAACCAAATCAAGCTTGAGCTCACGAGCACGTTCAAGAGCTTCATGTAGCGAAAGAATTGTATGTCCTACAAAAATACATATGCAACACGTGAACAACTAATAAACAGACACAATCCACATGCATATTGATAGCCTGATACATTTATACACAACTTCTCTTCCTAAGAAAACTCATTTTCGAGTTTTGGGAGCCTGATGATGGTGGGTGCAGTTGTGTTTTGCACGGCCTACTTGGTTCAAAGAGATAGTCAGACCTTTGTAGACAAATTTTCAACTCAAGTTTTCTTTGATAGAACCGTATTTTGGATTTTGTCAATGGTGTCTCCTTTAAACGTTTTTGTACTTATACTACTTTTGACATTCAAGTCAAATGGAGAACTCTATGTAACTCTTTTGCCCATAAGGAGGAAACCCTCCTTTTTATCTAAATTATACTGTTTCATTCTTTGAAAAAATTTCATTTTCTTACCCATATTTCCAGTATTAACACATTTCACTAGATAGATTCTGTACATGTTTTCTAGCAAATTTTATCTATATAGTATGCAGATGTACATGAAATATCAGACATGAGGAAAATCAAAATCCTTATCAAACCTGCACCTTTCTCCCTACATAAGAAGATTTTTAAGTTGTATGCACTATTCTCATTTTATCAGAGAGGAGAGTGCTATGCTAACCACTAAGATGCATCACTATGAACATGATATATATATATATATATATATATATATATATGGCTGGACCCAGAAGATTTGAACTCGAGACCTCTAAGCCAATATGACCAAAAGAATCCAAACCTTCGCCAACTAGACTGCCCTCGGGGGCTTATTATGAACATGATATCATTCTTAAGAACGTGAAAAAAGGCATCACAAGGGAAACTCAGACCATGATATTATCAAAAATTCAACATTGTTTTACCCCACGTACCATCATCAGTTACAAGCCTGACAAACTCAGCCTTGATTTTATCATTAAGTCGCGGCCCACTCGTATCCTTCTCTTCCTTCTTCGCCTTACCCTGAAACTGTAGTAACATGGCATAGATTGAACAACATCAGCCACCATAAATTAAACATCCTATAATTCAAACAAGGTACCTAATATATAACCAGTAGAAACAATGAGCGAGTTTGGCTTAGCAGTAATTGGCATATATCTCCAATCAAGAGTCCGTGAGTTCGATCCCCTGCCATTAGTACTAAAAAAAACGATGCAAACTCAACTAGCTGACGATCAAATTTTTTAGTGAAAACCAATTTAACATTAGAAAGAAATTTTAAAAGTTCAAGCCATGAAATTTCAGTTACTAAAACGGGATTTAAAACCTTCCCAAAAAAACCCAATTTTGATATAATTTAGCCCAAATTCAAAACCTAATGAACTATAGCTCATCTATAAGGATCAGAATCACTACCTGAACCGGAGCAGCATAAAACCTGACTTTACCGCCAAGATCAGCTGGCCTAATGGGAATTACTCGTTCGAGATTCTCAGAAACATGCTTCTCTCTACGACCAGAGCCGAGCGAAGAAGCATAAGAGATTTGAAAGTAATGTCTCTTGAATTGATTGGAAAGGAGCTTGAGCTTGGATTGGTTTATTCTACAGAAGAATGCCATCGTATCCTAGCTATAGTGACCCAACCATAGCATCTTAGAGCGGAAACAAAAATTTGAAAGAAGATCGATGGATTTAACCCTCCCCTGAGGCTTTCTTCGAACGAACAGGACGGTGGCTCGCGCCAGTCGTTCGCAGTTGCAGAGCTCCCTGAGCCAAGCTCTCGCCAATGGGGAAATTGAGAGGGAGAGAGAGAGAGACAAGGTTTCGGATCCTCCATATTCTCGGCCCAGTTCAACGCCCACTAAGATGAAATTGGGCTGAAATTCTTGTAAAGAGATATTGGGCTTGATTTAGCCTTTTTTTTTAAACATTTATCTGATACTAGATTTATATACTCTAAATAAATATAAGGTTGTGAATTACATCCAATTATTTAATCAAAATTCATCTGGATTAGAAACTCAAGATTTTTAAAATCTAAAGAAGGCAGCTACACCGACCTGGGTTTTCTTTTTGCCCAAATGACCCACTCCTCCCAAATTGTTTTTCTGATTATTTTAATTAATTTAAAAATAATTGAAATTATATTTGTGCCTCTAAAGTCAAAAAAGATTTCTCCCTCTTTCTCTTCTTCTCCTCCCTCGTTTTTCATCCCGATATTCCACATTTCTCCTCTATTTTCTTGAACATTGAAAGTTTAGGTGAAAGGTTAACTTCACACCACCAAGACATAAATAAGTTTATGTGGACAATTAATATATATTAATTTAAGTTGTTTGAGATCTCCTCAGTTATAAAAAAATTGCCCATTAACCAACAATTTCGGCCGAATTTCACAAAACTCGGGCGAGTTGGCTTCGATCTCGCCCGAGATTTAGTCCAGTTTTTTTACTTCAAACTTAAGATTTTTCATTATGTTAAGGGTAATTTTGTACTTTCACCTGTACCGACATGTCAGAAAAACTGTTATAGGTTAGAAAAAACAATTTTCGAAAGGTGGGTTATTTGAACAAAGTGAAAACTTTAGTAGGTTATTTGAGTGAATTTGCTCTACATCTGACCATTTTCCTTTATTTTTTTTAAAAATGTTTCGATGTCACTAGTGATTTTTAACCTGAGCATAAATTTAATGATTAAGGCATCATAATTTTTTTTTCTTTTATAAATGAACGGTAGTGAATTATAATTATTTTCACTAATTTTAATTTTCTTATAAATGGATGGTTTGAAGCATAATTATTTCCATTAAGAAATAAATATAATTAAAATTAGTCGATAATTTTGGAAGCAAAAATAACATTTATAAGAGAATTAAATGTGTGTAGCATATTTGAAAAAATTGTATATGTTCTTTTTTTCCTTTAAAATACACAGAAGAATTGTGTGACTATATTCAAGTTAATCTTTAAAGTATATGTTTAAAATAAAAGCATATATGAGTTTGCCAAAACTTAGTCGTCTTCATCTAATTTAACAAAAATAAAAAAATAATTTTTTTAGTACAAAAAAAAAAATAACAGAATTAATTAATAATTATAAAAAAGTTCTCATCAACAAAGTTCATAAAATATGAGTATAAATGTCTTTTTTATTTTCATGGATATTTAATGGCATCTATTTGTGCAATATGACCGACATGGAAAGTTAACAATTTTAATTTTCAAACATATGATTGAGAACAATTTCTTTTTATTTTATTTAAATACATAGTACCTAAGCTACTATAAAATTGAATCCTATGTAATAAGTCTGTGAAAAAGGTAGGAAAATGCAAACACGTCTATAATGAAAAATTAGACATCATAAAAACATTATTTAATAATTTATAAACAATGGTGTTATATTATGATCATATCTTGTCGCATCAGATTCATAAATAATTATAATTTTTTTTATAAAATATGATCGATTTAATCAAGGTCGTTCACAATTCATGTTAAATGACATTAATTTAATTAAGAAAATTGTTGTTTTCCTTTTTTTTTTTTCTGCTTTCCTTATGAGTGGGAAAATATGATATTTCAACAAACTAAAATCATATTAAGAAGTTTATAATATAATGTCGTGGGTGCTAAAGAAAGCAAATGCTAGCATAGTCTATTATAATAATGATAAAGAAAGCAAGTGCTAACATAGTTTTAGAATATTATAATGATAAGATAACACGTTATAATATGACCAAAGAAATTAAAAATCTTTAGAAATGTGCTAAAATAATGTTCTTAGTGGGAAACCAAGGAAGCAATTTATATCTCATGCATGTATTATATGCATAACATAAAAGTCTATCGAATTAATCAAAGCATAGTTTTAATGGATTAGGTTTTATAATTGCTCACTTCTATTTTAGTCAAATGTAACATTTTCAAACATATAATTATCCATAAGATTAATAGCTCTTCAAATATTTATGTTAGTATCTTTGTGTGCAAAGCTCATTTATGTGCGTGAGTTTGCTAGTTATAAGTTTACCTAATAATTCCAAGAGTTAAAAAAAAACAACTTTAATTTTAAAACTCTGTTTTTTTTAGTAGAAAAAATTGAAGGTTGGGAAGATTTGAAACCTCAAATAAAAGAATATATTTTAATTACTATTGAGATATATTTATGTTAGTTAAAATAACTCATCTCTTAATCACATTATTTGTAGTAAAAAAAAATCATGTATTTACTTTTACAAATTATAAACCCTACTAAAATATAAATAACATTCATTTCAGGTAGAAATTTGAACCTATAACCCTTTCGAAAGACGACATTAGAAATGTCTAGATTACTTAATAACAATACTTTCTTGCCTACTCTTTCTATCTCTTTACATTTCTCTCTCATACCCGTCAAAAACTTAGTGGTAGGTATATTATCCATCTTCTAGCCACTGGCCACTAAGGAAGTTTTGTCATATTCTCATATTAAAGAAAAGTTAATATCTAATATGATAAGCATTTTTTTTAAATCAAATATGATAAGCATTTAACTTCTTATTTTAGTTATATTTAGACTTACATTAAGTGTTTAGTACAACAAATGCAATGATTTAGCCATTAATATTAATTTAAGAGGATTTTGAGTTGGTGGGTTTCCATGATTTTAGGGATTTTTAATAGTTGTCTTTGTTTAAGTAGATCTTATCTATATCATCTATTATGTATTAATTTAATTTTTAGAATATCGCCTATTGTCTCTTTTTGTTTTAGTATAATACATGTTGGAACGAGAAATTGAACTCAGGATCTTTTAGTCGAATATAGGGTGTTTTAACTTAGGTTCAAGTTGACTCCAATATTGTTTTTAAATTAGGAAATGAATAGGGAAATATATAATTTTTTTACTAGTGACGAATTACAATTGGTTTTTTATACAATAATTAGGATAGAGACTTGAACTCACGATTTCTTTTTATTTTTATTGATGATATATATCTTAACTAATTAAACTATATTCAAGTTGGAAAGTACAATTTATCTGAGGAATTTCAAGTTTCTCCAAAAGCCAATAATTATCAAAGGTAGTTTTTTTTTTAATTAACATGTTTACGTTTTTATTTTCTTTTAGAAATATTAAAAAAAAATTGTTTTTGTTTTTGTTAATTATTTTTATTTTTATTTTTTTCATAACCGTAATGAAATTGCTGTTTTTATTATATTTTACTCTCAAGTAGAATATTTTAAAAAATACATTGTCAAACCAATTCTAAACTTTCCTAAATAAGTCTACTTTTAGACTACCAGAAATTTTATTTTCATTTGAAACATGATAGCCATTAACGCATTTCAAAAACAACTTCAATGTGGACTCTTTGTATCCCTCAACAAGATCGTTGAATTGTTATTGTCTCATGGATTATTGGCCAAGAAGAGGACTCAATTATTTGAAAATTTTCTAACCAAAAGGAAAAGAAAGAGATAGAGAAATGGTTTGAGTTTTGAAGAGTTTGGTCCCGTCTCATTAATGAAACATTACCCACAATCTTGTAAGTACATTGTTTTCATTAATTTCACGTATATAAATTTTGACGTACCTGGTGCCTTCGAACATTTTTTATGTGGGATCCTTAACATGTTCCCTCATGATCGTGACTCTTTTGGTTCATCGATCTTCGTCAGATCTCATTTTTTGATCTAATGCTCGTTTGAGTGTTCTGAGCTCTGATATCAAGATCGTGACTCTTTTGGCTCATCAATCTTGGCCAGATTCCATTTTTTGACCGAATGCTCATTTGAGCATCGTGAGCTCTGATACCATATTAATATTCATAGGATTCCATCTTAAAACCAATTAGCAATCAGAGGAGTAGCTCATATCTATTATAAATTATTTAAGGTGTCTTTTTTTTCCATGTAAGATTCTTAACATCTAAGCATAGTTTAACTGATTAAGACATATTATCGATTAAAAAGTAAGAAGATTAAATTCCCACCTCCAATACGCATTGTCAAACTCAAGGCAAATTACACACTCCTCGACCTACTCGAGTTTTAACTATTTAAAACAAAAGCTATTCCATTCAATCAAGAAAAAAGCACCTAATTGCCCATTCAAAATATCAAGTATATATGCCCAGGTGTTGCACCAAGTGATCTACGTATGAAAACACTCCATTAGCAAATTGGTCCACCTTGGATCTTCAGTACATCCAACGTGGCTCTATGAGTAAAAATCTAACCTTTAGGTTAGCTTTGGTTTGTATCACGTTCCATCTTTTCTTATGTGGCAAGCAACCAACTCTCTCTAAACGTAAACAAAAACATCATTCCTTCATTGAAAGTAGGGAGACACATGTAATAGAATCGGTGATAATTTTCAGTAAAATATTGGAAGAGTAAATAATCTCATATCGATTAAGTATGAGAAAGTGTGCTCCAAGTGTTTTAAAAGGTACTCGTTGCTTTAAATTTTATCAATGATCCCAATTAAAACACTAAGCCTTGTATACTAATTCTAATTGTGTGAGAGATGTAAAGCTTTAGAGAAAGTATTTTTACAATTGGGGTCGGATAGAGAGTTTTGTGTGATTGTAATATTTTTCACACATATTGGTGAATTTCGTTTAGAATGGGCTGCTTGATTTTTCTTCGATTTGGAATTCTTCATGTAAATTCTTTACTAATTTGTTGAATTATTCCTGTAGTAAGGAGAAAATGACCTTTTTTCCCATAAGAATGCTCCAACATTCTTTTGTATGCTCTCGTTATTCTACACAATTCATTAATCAGTTTCAACTTTATAAAGTGTGTCCATGTAGA